TCAATTTTTTTTTTCTTTGCACAAAACAATTCAGTGTTCAAATAAAAAATCTACATTACTGGACGTGATGTAACATAGAGTATATTATCTTGTAGCCATTGATATCATCTGGTATTAGATAAGCTATCTTAGATGACGCACGATTGTATTTATTTTAGAAGGTCGAAAGATTTCGTCACTTTAAAATTCAAGTTTTTATGCATTTTTATTACAAAAATATTTAGTTATTTCAAAAAAGGAAGTAATATTTTTAACGATTTAAATAAGGGTGCAATAAGCTTGGCACTATAAAAATCTGATAGTTATTTTATTTGACCGTGCGAGTCATATTATGGTTTCGATTTGGAAACATTGCCACAAAAATATTTTTGTGATTTTTAAAATTTCTGTAATTTTTTCTATAAAAAGTGATTGCCTCAAAAGGGCAATGAAATATTGTAAACTACCCGCATAGCCTTCGCTTGGTCCACGATTGAGGTGTGTGCGCGGAAATGTACTCAATGTGAAGGTTAACTAGAGTTTATTATTGTATGACGGAAACTAGAGTGTCTAAGTAAATAGGGAACAGTTCAGCCTATTTAAAAATCCAAAGCCTGTACAATCGTAGGGACATGTAGTAAACCGATATAAACTTACTTTCTCAGCCTGACCGGTGGTTGACTGGTAGATAATGCCACCCGGCATTAAGTACGCCACTGTACAGTGTTTATGTGCAATAAATATAAATAAATAAATAAAAAATAAACATAGTTACATACAGATCAAAGCAGTAGTCGTCGAAGTTCAGAGAAGTCTTCAGGTAAACATTAAAATAGTGGAAATCTCTATTAATTAGTTCCAAAAAATAATTATCAAAATTACCAAAAACTGTGGTATACGAGGGTATACGTTAACCTTGACACTCGGTATAAGTTTCATCCCAACGAAATCGCTCTCGCAAAAGAAAATAAAAACGTATACGAACCAAATACTGAATTATTTTGAACACAACCAACTTTCCCAGAAAATCACAATCTCACACTTATATTTGAATAAACCACGACTAGAAACGTTATAAAGTTTGTAAAAAATATTTCCAAATGGCCAACCGTCAGGTTTGACGTTCCGATTTTCAAATTTCAAATGTCAACGGATTAACGGCCAGCGAAGTTGTGGCATAGACTAAATTTAAACTCTTTGAGTATTTGAACTCTTTTCTTGTTCCTTTATGGAAAACACAGACTTTTTATTTATTTTAGGTAATAACTTATTTTTAGTTAATTATTCGCATAATCAGAAGATAGTGGCTTTCAGTTAGGTACTATAAATAAAATGACCCAAAAAGTTATGCAATTTTAATGCAAACTTTTCAAAAACAACCAACTTATTTCGACTCAAAATATTAACCAAGGTTACTGTAAGACTTTATGACATCATAAATGTTTCGCAGACAGAAATACATCATTGAATTATTTAAATGAAATAGACAGTTGACGCGCTATAAAAATCTCGAAAGGTCAGCTAGTGACCAATGAAGAGTTCGGCTATTTTAAGCTAGCCAAAACTACTTTCAGTTTCATTTATGCACACGACAACGCTGGCCGATAATAATTACAGCACACACTAAAAACGTTTACCTCTTTAGACGATTAAAACGACCATAGATAAATCTTCGCGCCAAAACTGACGTGCCACTGGCGATCTGTCAAAAGTCCCGCGCTTTCCGGTCAAAATGGCCGCCGCTTTTCCGAATTTCGCAGCACGTGGTTCCAAAAAACTTTGCCGTCCGACCGCTATGAGAATATGCGTGTTATTTTAGATACGTTACATTTCATGCGGGGTATTTTTAGATTACTTTATCGAAAGGAGGGCGCGACGCGTCTGCGTGCATTGTCTAGGCGAAATGACTTTTTCACATTTAATTTTTCATTTCTATTTAAAAAATACAGTACTTTAGGCAAGTTAGGAAAAACATAATCTCCAGGATGAATCTGGACTCCAGATACTGGAGTCCATGACAGAGAAACACGGTTAATATAGATTAAGGTCACCGTGATGCAATATCAGAGAAGCGATATATCCCAGCAAACTCTTTAGACAAAACAGTTGGAGGAAAAGTGGGCTCAGTATTGAACCTTGCGACACCACCTATGATATTTACTGGAAAAACTAACGATAGATAAATTTAAAATTAAAGAGAAAAACGCAGAATATTCACGTGATAAAGAAAAATCCGACGGATTCTAATATCAACTTGTATGTTTGATTTAGACTCTAATAAAAAGAATAGAGTAAAGAGTATTGCACTAACACAGCCAATATCTTATCTATACCTAGCTTAATAGTTAAGCCAAAACAATTTGAATTTACGTTCGCTCGTTTATTTATTTATTTATTAGGTACACCAACAAAGTCACATACATAATACAGTTCTGAATACATTTTAACATGGTTTAACACATGATACGTATATGACCTCAATGACGTTTGAATGGTATACAATAGTTAAGGCTGTCTAAATCCCAAGTTCCCAACCGAGACAGGAGTGAGGTAAGGTGACATTTTAAAGAGTGAGGAAGTAGAAACTACAAATAACTAAACAATTAGAGAAGATAACTTTTAGTTATTAGTTGAAATGGAGATCGGACATTGGCATCGCCTGGCGGAACATTCGTTGGCTGATCGCCTAAAACAATACTGATTCTTTCCGGGTAACCGGTGCGTTGAACTGGTTTTTATTTCATACTTTTCATGAGATACCTTGGATTTCCCTTAAAATGGGGTAATAACTATACTCGTACAGGTAAGAATTTAGAGGTACTTGATGCAATTTTTAAACCGGCAGACAGTAGTGACTGAGTTTGTTGCGGCGCTTCTTCTCAGCACTTGCCACAAAAGAATGAGACATGTATAGGCTCCTTAAGAGCACTTGACGATTTGCAAGTACTAATTTAATTAGTCTAAAAAAATAAAGATAATTTTGATTTTGATTTTTTTGATAATACAAACTTTGTATCTATGTATAGATTCGTTAATGTAATTTATATTTTGATATTTTAAACTTCAGTATAACTGGCATATAGGATGGGTCATTTCACTGTTCATCTGTCTGACAATAATAATTTTAAGCTCAGAAAGGAACCGATTTATCGTTGAAAACAATTTTGAAAAACAACTAATGAATTTGGTCAACATTCTTTCCACATGTAATTTGACCCTAAATGCAGGTAAAATTTTTTCTTGGATATGAAAAAAAATTACTAACTAAAGGAATGGGACTTGGATGAAATCTGCTGGTATACATTTTATAACCAGTGAGAAGCTTACTACCTTCTCTGTTACGTCTACAATTAGATCCATAACAGCCTCTACTTCCAGAGCTACGGTCCCCTCATCTTCCGAATCCTTAGAACCATCCGGGGTATTGTCTTGCTCTCTTTCGCGAACATTAGTCATGTTAAGAGTGTCAGCCGTAAGACTAAATAACGTACATACGTATAAATAGATGCCCTCATTACTGAATGCCAATGAACTCGCACTTTTATTTTAACCTGTGTAACGACGTGCAAGATTTTTGTGAATTTGCAAGAGTTCTCTTTGGGACAATTCAAAGAATCAATTTGTGGCTTGAAACTTGTGCGAAAAGGGACATTATGGTTAGTTGATTTAGTCACTCAGCTTAGATTATTCAGTCAGGACGTGTAGTGACGGCAGAGTAGAATACATTTGTCACCAACCCCTACTCTTCCCGCGGGTGTCGTAAGAGACGACTTAGGGACTACACATCAAACAGAGAACGGGCAGTAGCGCTCTNAGCGCTCTCTGAAAAATATCAATCTTTTAAACTGCGATCTCTAACCCGCCTGCTAAACGTGGGGATTATGGCAAAAAACCCTCCATTATAGTGGAAGAGGCTCATAGTCCAGCAGTGAACTGTAAAGGGCTGTTGATGATGATGATTTAGTCACCACTGCAAACTGCAGGACGACTAAATATGTAGGCTAATAGAGGATTTTCCATACACTCTGCAAGCTAGCCATAACGGTTGAGGTGTCAAAGGAAAAGGGACGTAATTCCGTGGTTTTAAGCTGAGTCAGAGATTCAGCTATAAAGTCAAGCGCAAGACTGTAACCAGAGTTAAGAACTTGTTGTGACAGCCGTTAAAATTACCTTCAGAAAAAAGTAAATTGGTATAATCAGTTTAAACAGCGGTATGGTGTTTAACCGTCGGGAAATCTGGACTACTACAAACATTACAAAGGTAGCAGATTCGAATCTCGCGAGTATTCATTCATGTATTAGTCATAGAAGCAGGCGCTTTGGTTATTGTGCTTAGAAGAATTCATTTTATCAAATTAATATTATCACCTTATACAATCCATAAATTATTGACACATCCGCACATTTCTATTCCATAACTCACCCAAAATTATACAGGCTTTCAAACATTAAACTTTCAAAGCATCTCTATTTACAGTCGCTCATACAACTCATACAGTTTTAATAGCTCATCTCTTAAACATAATTCTAATTTGCAGAAAATCAATTCGGTCACGCAGAAAAATTCGCCTACTACTACTACACACAAAGAAGAAAGGGGGAATTCTACGTATGCAGAAATAAGTTGACGAAATCAATACTAAAAACCTGTTTAGAAAACCATCTACTGAACACACTATGGCGTAGATTGTAACAATTTTGATGGCTACATCAATCAAAGATCTAGAATTCAATATCTATTGGTTCATTAGATGGTTTTCAAATTGATAAAAACAACGGAAAATAAGTTAAATATAAGGAATCATCATCAAATCAGGCAATTTTTAAGTGTTTTGAGTAAAGGTGCAAACAAATAGCCACTAATCTAAAAATGGGGTGCTTGAAACCTTTTAAGTGCTTGGTGATTATATTGCAATAGAAATAGACCAAAATAATAATAAATCAGTACGCACCAGTAAGCAGACTTCATAAATAATCGTCAAGCCCTTAAAAAGTTTAACTGACAAAATATGAGTACTTACAGCTTTGATATCTTCATAGTCTTTCGAGTCTAGAATCTTCTTTCTAGCAGACGGCGTTTCTGGACTGGAATCTTCTGTGGGCTCACTGAACGTACTCTCAGTACTCGTCTCCATAGACTTGACACCATCTTCCGTAGCCTCTTTGTCTTCTTCTGATTTTTCTGTGCGTTTCTTCAAAAAGTTTTCATGCTCAAACGTTTTGTTTTCGAATCCTGTCCCGCTTGGTGATTCGATATCATTGTCTAGAACTAATCTGTCGTCTTGTTCTGAATCTATATACTTGAGCTTCACCCTGGATCTCCCCGTTTCACTCAGGCCATCCTTTTCCTCACTATCGTTCCTCTTCGGCGATGTGCTAGACGCTATAGGCTGAGATATCTGTATGAACGAAGCGAAATTAGAAGTGTGTTTCGGAGCCTTCACTTGCTTCTCTATATCGTTTTTCAAAGACTCCTTCTTACTTAGCACATCTGGACTACTTTTCTTTTTGTAATCGTCTCCATTCTCTACGTGTATAACAGTGGATTTCTCTAGAATTTTCCCTATGGGGTTATTAGGATCTAATTGACTTTTAATACTGGCAAGGCGATCGGAAGGCAATTTGGAAGTTAGTGACGTCGACATAGAGTTTTTATCTACGACCGGCTTGGCTAAAGACACCGGTTCTGAAATGGTTTTGCTAATGGACAAGTCTGAGTTAGAATTGGACCTAGATGACGATGATCCTACTTCCCATCTGTGATTCAACCCGTTTTTCTCAGCGTACGGCAAATGTACGGGGACTATTTTGTCGTCTTTTGGCAGTTTCGTGTACCCCACCGTTCCGTTTTCGCAGTCCTTCAACTGGCTCAGGTATTGCTCTACTGACGTCTTGGGCGAAAGCCTCGGTTCATTCGCTGGAAGTTTAGTCACAGTCATCTTATCGAATCTTTTCCTTGTTTCAGATACAGATGGCACTTCATTCCCATTGTTATCCTTAGCGCCATTGGACATAGAGTTCCTTTTGCTGAAGCTAGGTGAGCTTTCCTTATACGATCTTCTTCCTTCGGGTCTCTGGTGTTGAATGAAACGCTTATTTCTTTCGGTTCAATGATATTTAAAATGAAAATACTGTGGCTTGTGGTTGTGTGTTAGTTCAACTTCTCAACGTGCTCTAGCTGTGTCTGAATCTTTATCAACTTCATCCAAGGCGTTATCAGCTTTATCTTCGTTACTTTTAAGGTTTAATTCTGCATAATTTTCAATTATACTAAATTTTCTGTTAAAGATATTAAAAATTAAGACACAGTGTAGAGTTTTATACAAATTTACTATGTCTACTATGCGGTAACCTCGTGAAAAGCAGTCTCTTATGGTGCCGAGGGTCTGCCTGTCAAGAGGTACGATGAAGCTGGCCAAGTAGTGCTATTGTTATTGAACATACACACACACACGCACACATTTTGTGTGCCTGCGAAATTTTCGTAGACTTACAAGTCTCGTTCGGATGTACATTAATTAGTTGATGTGGTGAAAGTAGATAACAAAAGAGAGATGATGTGTTCGATTGTCATTTGTCACGAAATAGACAATTTGGATGTAACTTTTTCTTTTATTTTTAAATATTTGAAACGAGCAACTGATCATCAAAAGTTTGCAGACATCTTGATAGAAACTTGGCTAGACTTAGCAGAAGGGTTATTCCGAAACTCTGTTTACGTAGTTTCGTGTCTATCTGTCACCGTTACTCATGCTGGCATCTCATTTGCGTGAGAGGGATGGCGACATTCAAAAACTTCTGTATGTTATTGTATGTAATAACCCCGCAGACTTGAAACAGCCTGCAGGAAAGAAAATAAGATCTAGTAAATCTTTTTAGACACCGACGACGGCTGTTCAAAGTATGACACCAGTATTGTGACCTGAAAGGTACTCTCACCATAGAACGGGACTATTCCTACCTCTCGTTCCCACCGCTGCAACTCCTGTGTAGCCAGGATCTACAGCTTGATCGCCAATAAAACCCAACCAGTGAAGGCCAAGTTTGTCCCGGGGGAAAGTTAAACTGTTTTTCACGCGCATCGAAATTAATCAGAAGTATATCACCATACAAGTAGCTCTATATTCAACAATAGATAACTACAACGCAAAAGGCAGAACTACCATAAACTTCGTGATTTACGAATACCCTACAAATGCATCTATTTAAATAGTTTGGTTCCCTAAGAAGGGTCGCAATAATGATAGTTTGTCACGGATATCTGCGTCATGCTCGTATATTCATAGTCCTTGGTACGAAATACTTTGGCGTAACATTTTAGTGGTGTCTTTCCTTTCAATTAATAGGCTAAAATTTTAGAAATTCTGAGTCTTTCAGTACCGTAGTAGTAGGTACTAGCTGAAATTTTCAATTTTAATGAAGGTAATTTGATCTTCAATGAAGAAGCACGGCCCAAGCTAGCTACAGAAGACTTGCAGTGGAGCGAGAGGTGGGAATAGTTTCATATGCAATTTCTATTTCGTTTCAGCCAAATGACGTCCTGGACAAAGGATTTCCACAAAGAGCGGTCCTGCGCTGCACGCATCCAGCCAGGTATTTCGACCTTCACCAAATCGTCATCCATCGCCATCTCTATAGGCAAACTTTTCTATTTGGGTAAAGTGCCGAATGGGAGCGGGAGCAGCGTGGGACGTCCACCCACAAACTAGACCGACGACCTCATAAAGGTAGCAGGAAGGTGCTGGATGCAGGCTGCTACCAACTGGTCATTAAGGAAATCATAGAGGGAGGCCTATGTTCAGCAGTGGACGTCCTATGGCTGAAATTATGATGATAGTGCCGGACTTAGAAACGGTTTTCTCTTAAAACTTTACCATGGCCCACTTGCGCTGATTATGAGATTCTAGGTCAAACAGATTAGCGATTACTAAGTGTTTAACGCATTACAAACAATTGTGTCCCTAATACGGACGACTGTTGCAGTTATTTACAAAAGTAAGGTTGGTTCGGCTGTTTGGTATAGTGGTTCGTAACGTAGGTACTATGCCAGAGGCCCAGAGGTCGCGGGTTCGATGCTCGCACATATTCAAATAGTTTATTCAGTACATAGGCTCTTTTCAGGGCACTTATACAGTACAAACATTTGTGTGCATGGACATACATGTTTCTATTGGTCTGGTATTTGGTATAAAATGTATATTATACTTCTGTTTACTTTGATTCTAGTACCCGTAGTACAATCAACTTGTGTTATCAACTTTTTGGCCACTTTGGCTGTCACGAACTATATTTGACGCTGACTATACGTACAAGCTATGCTTAGTTTGGGACTAGATGGCGCAGTGTGAAATGCCCAAGGATTATTTATGTAATACATGACTGTATGAAAAATCATCAATGATAGCTTGTGTCCAAAATAAACAAAAGCGACTCATGCACTATTAAGTGCAGTCTGCCAAGTAAAAAATATGCGCAATTATCTTTTAGAGACTACCTGGTTGTCCAAATATTTATAAGAGATGACATCCACCTATTGGTCTGAGTCATCAGAGTCTATTTTGGTTTGTCCATCCTCATCGAATGGGAGCAGTGGGCCATGACATTCGTCTAGTCTGTGCAAATGGAAAATGGTAAGTTTTTAATACAGTATGATATGACTTTTTTTTCGTCAGGAAAAGCATGAAATTGCATACCCACTGGCCCGGGGAACCAGTGGGTTATGTGAGGCTCTCCCTGCCAGATGGGCAGGGCCTACTCACTAAAACCTGACGGTGTCCTCCCAAAGTCTTTGGGACGGAGCTGCGAGTTATTGTCCGAGCTAGACGGCCTAGACATTCTTTCGCGGCTCCGCCCCAGACTGTGGCTCGCTCTGTTGGTCTGAGCAAGCGACGACTGGCTTCAGGGGAGTAGTACCTCCCCTGTTCTTCGCTAAACATATGATATGACTACTCCCACTCCTCGTTAGAAACGGTCGTTCGTTTCAGCCAAATGACGTCCACTGCTGGACAAAGGCCTCCCCCAAGGATTTCCGCGACCTTCAGAAAAGTTCTCGAGTGGCGACCACGGGCGGGAAGACGTAGTGTGGCAGGCCCCCCACTAGGTGGATCGACGATCTGGTAAAGGTCCTAAGAGGCGACTAAGCAACAAATACCCGTCTGGCCAGTGTGGGGAGTGCAGGGCAGATCCTCCATTAGCTCCAGGTAAATTAAAAGAAAAACAGAGCCCGCAGAATTGCTATAATCAGGTGGAAATATGCGGGGCACATAGCTCATAGAGCTGATGGCCGCTGGGGCAGAAAAGTTCTCGAGTGACGGCAGGCCCGCCACTAGGCGGACCGAAGATTTTGTGAAGATCGCGGGTAGTACCTGGATACTATAGCAGCGCAGAGCAGGACCTATTTTTTATGAAAATCCTTGAGGAAACCTTTGTGGAGGTCGTCATTTGGCTGAAACGACGAAATTGAGGGTCATGCTACCGCAGTGGAGGTCATAGTTATAAGTTCTGGGTTCAATTCCCCAGTGGGTCAACCTACCCATAATACCAAATCACTTTATGTTCCCAGTTTGGTTAGTGGGACATTTCCATTCAGGCTGGCCCAACCGGTTTTTCCGAAAAACAGAACAGTCTGTATATTTTCTATGTTTCAGAAGACACGTGACGAAGCATCGTTGGATATAAGTCTATACCTAGCCTGAACTCTGAAGCCTTAGTAGAAAACTATTATTGCCTAAGCTAGCTGTAGGCTTCCCTTATAGTACATGTAAAACACTACATACGTATCGTATCTGTTTAGTTTCTACCAAGATGTCTTAAGTAGTACTTTCAAAAAAATTGTACCAATATGATTCAAATCCAGTTAAAATTTAAAAAAAAATTAAGAAATACAGGGTCATATTAGTAAACAATCCTCAAAACTAGATTCCGTTTCAAGATTGTGATTGATTGAGTAGAGACCAATCTCAAAATTGAAAAAGTTCGTACTTGAGCAATGCTTAAAAATACGATCCTTATGCCCGTTTTCATTATCAATCCCAAATTTTTAAGTGACCGCTATGAAAACAAAATTCCTGTATTATGAGTTACCATAGGGGTCACTTAAAAATTAGGGATTGATGGTGAAAACGGGCACTAGGCATTCTTAATACTGTACACGATTTGTGTGTGAAATACTAAAATATCTACGATGATCAAACTATGAATGAACACATTGATGATTTATTGTAGTCACTTCAATAATTTTGATTATGTATTATGAAGAACTAAACGTAATTTTGACAGGTACAGTCAACCTCAATAATCACATTTACTGTCAAAGTGCTCCAAAACACACGCTCTATTCTATGGAACAATATTTTGAACCACTTTCACTGCAAACATATTTTTGTAGTCGACTGTACAACTGTACGCTGTCTCTGTCTAACCAATAAGATGGACAGAGACGGCATGACGAGCTGTCAAAATGTCTAAAGGTCGAAATGACGTTTAAAACACATCAAACTCAAGAAAACAAGTTAGTTTTTTACCTTTTAATTTCGCAGACATCCAAATCATGATAAAAAATACCTATAATGGGTGCTCAGACGTTAAGATCTTTAGAAAGAAAATAAAGTTTAAAAAAATAATCGAAAACATTGGCATATCTTCAAAACAAAAGAAACGGACTATAAACAAGTAGAAACAACTACAGCTGATTGCTAAAAGTTCAATGACTTCGAATTTGCAACAGGTCATTGACCTTATGACATTTACAAAATAATGAGAGAAAAAAATCTTGAAAAAGTACGATGCAGTTACTAACATCTTCAATGTAGGTTTTGAATCGTAATATTAACGAAATAAAGTTAAAATGTGAATGTATTTTCTTTATTGTTCTACTATGTCACTGTTCAACAGCAAGTCTGCCTATCCAAATCTTTCAATTACTTAAACCTTACTCTTCACACACAAAGTTCACAATCTTTTGAAGAAGTCTCTACGATATTCACCGAATTGCTTCAAGAACTAGACATTAACCAGGGTCTCATAATCTTTGAAGTAAGTCAGCTTACTTTTAAGAGTCACAAATTTGGTCTACGCCAAAGATCTTTACGTCGTACACCCTTAGTAATAAAGTTCATAATTACCTCAGCAATAGTAGCGGCTGTGGAGTTCCTTGCCCGCCTGGCGGTCTTGGGATCGGCAGCTGGAGGCCTCCCGATGTCATTCGAAATGGACTTAGACCTCGATATCTCTCCATAACTGTTCTGATTCTGTTGCTGCTGCTGTTGCTGTTCCTTGATCCTCTGAGTTAAGGGCACGTAGTTCGCTGGAGAGTACTTGTTGTAGAAGTCCGCTTGCGACATCGCTAGCGCAGCAGAACTGATTACGCTTCGCTTGTTTCTGGAAGGTTCGCTCGGCTTCCCGCTTTCGCTTCTGGTCGTCGAAATATCGCGGGATCTAGATTCTGAACGCTCGGAGCGATATCGACTTGATATACCACTGTCTGAATCCGTCACACTGGGAGCACGGGAGTTCCTGGAATATTCCACGAGGGAAGTCTTCCTTTCTCTTTTGCCGTCGACATCTGAGTATCTCGATCTGAACTCCGAAGTCTTATCACCGTATGTGCTCCGCAAAGTTGATGACACGTAAGAACCACTGCTCGTTCTGAAGTATGGCTTCTCTAAACTCGATGAGGACGTAAACGTTAGTCGATGGGACCCAGACAAGCTGGACGAGGTAGAAGTGAACCGGGAAGGCGAGACGACAGGCATTTTGGCTATTTCTATACACTTACACCTTAAACCTATGTGTATATCACATAGTTTGCCTTAGCTCTAGCTATAATAGGTAGCGGTTATGGACGGCGGCTGGTTTCTATGCATTTTCCCCTCGGTGGAAACAGTTCTGGAACAAAAGAGTTATGATATAGACCGTATGCTGTTGGAATAGTGCGTATTTTAGGTCAAGCAGATAAATTGCGGACATAAATGTCAGTTAGGATCAGTGATATATGCACCTCATGTCTACGACATTCGGACGTTAATTGCTTGATGCTCATCTAATGCGCTGATCAATTCTTTCTATTTTGTGCACTATAGTAATTCTTTAAGGCGTAAATTAATACTTGACGACATATTTATTGCTGTGCCTATTCTGTGCTTTTACATTTACCTATAAGATCTTTTGTTAATTGTATTTGAGGTAATAAATAAAAATCTGATAGAGATGGGTGACTTTTTTGGATCCTGAAGGACTGGCAGGAAAATCTCTAATGGGACATGTGAGTGCGGTTAAAATGGCCTGGCCTCAACTAAAGTTTTTGAATACTTAGACGAATTTTATGGCAGTTTTAAACATAAATATTTATTTAAATTCTTCATCATCAATCATCCGAAAGGTCATACGCGGTTCAAAGTGTGTCTGCCAGTAAGAGGAAAGGCGCAAAAAAAAACTATGGGTTGAATCGCATAAAGGGGAAAAACCAAAAATTTTACACTTATTTTGCAAACATTTATTGATTTCTAATGAATCAGAACTGTCGATTTTACAACTGTAGTAGGTAAATACGCACAACAGGAAATTTCCTAGAGCCAATAATCGCGATGAATTTGCCCGTAGCCAGACGTTCCGCTTAAAAATATTAATATTAACATATTGAACGTATGAACCACCGTTAACATAAGCTGTGCACACAAAAATTAACACTATGTATGTGGAATTACGCACGCGGGCAAGGTCGTTCGCTACGTAATGGAATTACGTACATTAAAAAGACCTTTCAGGGACCAAAAGTCAAAGAACTGGCAGATGAGAAAAAATATGTTCAGGTCTTCTTTTTTTTAGTTTCTTAATTTTTTGCTTTCAAAGCTGTATTAATTCTTGACTTAAGTACGTAATATGTAGGTATTATGAAATTATTATTTGTAATTTTAATCAATGCCAATATAATAAATGTTTCTCCGATATTTAGAATAGGATGTTAAAAACAGGGCATCGATTTTAATAATGCTAATGCTAATGATCACAGCTCTCAATGCAAGGGCTTAAATATTTATTATCCCTTAAACTGCGGAATATAAAAACTGTCAATCTGAGGCAACATAATATGTCTGGCTACGCAGTCGACGGTTTATTGTGCTTCATAATGTCTAAAATTTAAAAAATTGACACAAACATAGTGATGGCTAACAAATATAAACGCCATAATATTATTCTACTAAAGAATATTATTTCTTTTTTTTTTCTTTTTTTATTCTAAAGACGAATTTAACGATAGAGTAAATGTGATTTAAAATACTATTTTTTTGTTAAAATACATTTTCTATGGCTACTTTTGCTTTTGTATTGTCATGTAAACGTAATTTTAAGTAAAATAAAAAGACATACATATTTGAAAACCTTTGATATGTCCCGCTTCTGACGGAAGAATCTCGCTATTTTCACTCAAAAAGTACCAAAGTCCCGACTTGGCGAAAAATAAAACTGGCAACGCTGTTAAGTAGGTAGGTACTAAGAATGCATGGATGTTTGTTATTATTTTGTTTGTAAAACTACAGAACAACTTTTAGTCAAATTTTAGTCATTTACCATACACAGCACAACTAAATACCTTGATTTATTTAATAAAATAAATAAATGAACATATTGAAAGGGATTTTTTAAGTCGAACAAAAGTTGGAGCAAGACTAAGGAATAAATATTATACATCACGTTTCAAGAATACTTAATTTTAATGTTTACTAATACAGAATGTATACAACGTGTCCCAAAATTCAAGGATAAGCCGGCGCCGTAGGGTGGACCTAGTCATGACTGCTTTAGGAAAAATAANTTAACTCACATTTTAGTTAATTAACTTTAATTAATTCTTAGGAATTCTGAGCACTGACCTACTTTTTTTGCACACTGAGAACCAGCATTTGAAAATTTAATGAGCAATAATTAGGCTTTATGATTCAAAGAACCTTGACCTAAAGAAAAAAAAATCACTTTTTAGGTTATGTTTTGATTTTTTTTTGGCAAAATTTTGGAGGCTTTCACTAATTGGTTTTCAGGTATGTTGATTTGTTAAAAAATTCACTGATAATCGTTAAGTTTACGTTTGTAATGTGTAAAAATTGAACCAATTGGATTTTTTGGACAAAATGTTTCTAATAAGCTGTCTGACAGGCATGCCCTGGTACGACAGATGGAGTCAAGGTCACACATTCTGCAGAAGAATCCAATTGAATTCTTTGTCCATTCTTTTTGCACGATAAAAAATGTTGAAATTGAAAAACTCACGATTCTTTTCGCACTTTTTCACGCGAGTTAGACCCGAATTTAACACCGTAACATGATACTGCTGAAAAAATTGATTTCAGCTTCAAGGCCAATTTGTTTGGGGCACAATACCGCGCAGTAATCACTTTCTCGCACTCACCAGGCCTGACTCTCGCAAAATCATCAAATACAGCCGAAAATACTCACGGTTTATTTTTAGTTACATGATAGATACGAACGTAAAGTTATAATGAGCACTAATTTAATTTTTACAATCACGTGGGCCACGACGTGTTTTATTAAATCGATCGTTTATGCAGCTGAAATACTCACAAATATTTAAAAACTGGTAACCAAGATTATTCGACAGCTAAATATCACAATAGTAGAACATGGATCAAAAGTCGTAGTTGTAACTTAAATATCACTCGCGAAGGACACTGCTTATACACTTTAAAAGGCTTGAACTTATTAAAACGGTTCGTTTTGCGTTTGGAAAATTATTTGTTCGACTGTGTAGATTGTAACTTTAGAAGTTCGGGTCTCCATAGCTCCATTGCAGTGACGTCACGCATTTTGTTGGCAATCCTATTTTTATGCCACTTCCTACTCAAACGATAAAATGTCTTACTAACTGGAATTCTATAAAGAATGTAACCCTTCCTGCGTTGGATTAAAGTTGATATTCGAAATTCTCAAAGGAACCCTAAATCTGTGATTGGATTTTTGTACGCGATGTTGCTGTAAGAAAAAAACATGGCGAACCTTTTCAGACAGATGTCATCGGTCAGCTGTTATTTATTCATGACTGGAAATGATATTTATTTGACGAAGAGTACTTGAATTATTTGTGTTTATCACACGTTTTTATCTTAATTGTTATCATAAAATGAAAAACAATAAATTACTTTAAAATATATTTGTAATATTACTCTGTGGTTACATACGTAGTTTTACTACTCGCCGCTAGATGTCAGTGTGCTGCTAATTTTAGTATGTCTATTCCCCAATAGATGTCGCTAAGCGTAGGTAGAGTATGAAAACGAATTTTCCAGCGCTCTACCAACATAGAGAAATAAGAAAGTGGGACTTTTAAGCAATTTATTACTAAGTAACTTTAATTTCAAGTTTGCAGTACCTTAGTACCTTCTGTCATTTCTTCTTTTAATAATTTTAAGTTGTATCTAAAGCTCTACATTTATTTTGTGCAGCCAAGATATTTACCTTTTTGAGATTTGGTAGCAGACATATGTTTTGGGATAATTTTCCCTACAAGTAGGTAGGTAATAGACAAAATTGCTTTCAATGTACCTTAAACGGTAGGTAGGTACCTAAAGAAAACTACAACTTATACTTTAACTACTACATTTTTGAGATAGTTTTATAGCAAATTACTGAAGTAGGTAACTTGCAATGTACTCGTACCTATTTTACAACAAAATCTTCCATCATTGTTTGGTTTGCAAAACAAAAACGTTACATTACTGTATACCTAGTGGTCACTTTAGAACCCCATATTTTTAAGGCTCTACAATGACCAAAAATCCATTTCTCTACTAATAATAATCAATCTGGTCAGGTGGGGATTCTTGGATGGCTTAAACATGGAGTGCAGGTGCGGTTTTGTTCCCCAGTCGATGAAGCACCTGATGTCGTGCCCTGAGTGCCCAAGCAACTGCACTCAGGAGGATGTGATGAGTGCTACTGACAACGCCACTCTTGTGGCGGAGTTTTGGGCTGACACTGTGTAGGTTTGTTGTCGACACGAAAAGAAGAAGATCAAGCCTGCAATAAATCTAACCAAATTAAAACTATGTAATGATTTTTCCATGAAAATTCTACCTAACAATCAATACTTTTGTGTCCAATATTCAACTTTAAAAGCCCCATAAGGCCACACAATTTTTTTCATCTCACATTTTGTCACATTTACCTCTTTCATCATCATCATTTCAGCCACAGGACGTCCACTGCTGAACATAGGCCTCCGCCAATGACTTCCACATCGCCCGGTTGGTAGCGGCCTGCATCAAGCGCCTTCCTGCTACCTTTATGAGGTCGTCGGGCCACCTTGTTGGTCGTAAAGACCAAAATGTTGATAAATATAATGTCACGAAATTTCCACACGTGTCAAGTCTTCCCCCAGCAACATAATAAAATTGAAAGCTATACTTATTACAGTGAAAGCATAGTTCTCAACCAATCACAGCAGTAAATTGGAGATGTTAACAACCCATTAACAAGGTGTTTGCTTTTGTAATATTGTAGGTTTTTCCCGTGACTTCGCTTGACGTTAAAAAAAATAATAATAATATATTTCTTATCGATTTAAATTTCGGTATTATAAGAGTTTTTGGGTCAAACTGTACAGATTTGCTTTTATTAACTGCATTTGTAACTACCAAAATAAAAAAAAACATTTTTGCGTATTGAAAAGTCCCCAGAAATCTAGTTTTTACTGTAAAGCAGCAATATTCTGTAAAAATACTTTTATTTATTTATTTCTCTTTATTATAGAAACATACAGCCTTATTTGATAGATGCTGCATGTAACATGCATCTAAAAATTAAATTTATATTTATCAATTTCTTAGATTTTGCAGAATCTAGGTAGATAAAAATGGATTTTCCCAGCCTCGGTCTATGTTACTTGTACTTGACAAACTCAAGGTGGACTAGTGACGATTATCCAATACGAAAAGAAAATTATTATTACCTAGTTTATCCAGAATAATAAATAGAAAGTAGTTGTTTAGTGTAGGTAATATCGATACTCACGATTAAAGACTACGTTAGTCTCAGATAGGGTGACCATCCGTCCGGACGTCCGGGTCCTGATCCGGACTTTCTATCCGGCTTTTTAATTTATTTACAGCTCAGACTTTTTGTTTTAGAAGATAGAGTACGGTTTAAATATCATATATATGTAGGAATGTAAAAGAAAACAAACTTTAACTTTTATTTTTTAATTTCGTTGAAACGTTCAAATAGTGAAACGTTAAAATAAACCGAATGATAGGATTGAATGAAAGGTGCGAGGCTCGCTCTCTCTCGTCCCAACTGCCATGACGTGCAGGTGTGCTCCGCTAAAGTTATTAGAAATAAACGGTGTATTTTCACGAAACTGAAAGCTGAAGTTTCTCTTGAGAACCCCAGCCCTACAACTCCTCGTCCGGGATAACGACTTTCATCAGGGCTGGATCTCTTGAGATTGTACGACGGAAATAATCGTGGAGCGTGGCGTGGACGGCGCCATTACCGGCAATCACGAGCGGCAACGTGCAGAAATTGGCAACGTAAGGCGGCAGAGCACCAACGACGACGACGGCTTATTTTACGACGCTTTTGAAGAAGACAATATTACGACGACGATGGCTGAAGAAAGAAACGAAGATTANGCGTTGAAGTTGCGCACGACGTCACAACGTGCGGCATTTTTAAGCAAGCGTTGACGTCACGGGCCTCTTCTTATGAACTTTGGGGCGCTTTATCTCTTTAAATTTTCATTAGTTTGAAAAAGTGAAAAATACGTGTAGGATATTTTTTGATAAGTTAACTGACGGACTAATTAAAACTCTTGCTTTTTGACCCAGGCAACATCCCCATTGTTTACATCTCACATTTTTTCACATTTACCTCTTTCATCATCATCATTTCAGCCACAGGACTTCCACTTATGAACATAGGCCTCCACCAATGACTTCTACATCGCCCGGTTGGTAGCGGCCTGCATCAAGCGCCTTCCTGCTACCTTTATGAGGTCGTTGGTCCACTTTGTTGGACGAAAAGACCAAAATGGTGATAAATATAATGCCATGATTTTTCCACACGTGTCAAGTCTACTCCCAGTATGTAAGTACGCAATAAAATTATAAGTTATACTTATTACAGTGAAAGCATAGTTCTCAGCCAATCACAGCAGTAAATGGGAGATTGTTAACAACCCTATAACAAGGTGTTTGCTTTAATAATATTGTAGGTTTTTCCCGTGACTTCGCTTGAAGTTAAATAAAATAATAATAATCATATTTCTTATCGATTTAAATTCCTGTATTATTAGAGTTTTTGGGTCAAAATGTTTTCTCTATTTGCTTTTCGTAACTGCAATGTAGCTCTACCAAAATTCATGAAAAATTAACATTATTGCGTATTGAAAAGTCCCCAGAAATCTAGTTTTATTAATGCTTTTACTGTAAAGCAGCAATATTGTGAAAAATACTATTAGCTTACTATTCTTAGATTTTACAGAATTAGGTGAGATAGAAATGGATTTTCCCAGCATCGGTCTATGTTACTTGTTACAAACTCAAGGTGGACTAGTTACGACTATCCAATATGAAAATAAAAATATCTAAGTAGGTACCTACCTACTTTATGCAGAATAATAAATAGAAAGTAGTTGTTTAGTGTAAGTAATATCGATGGGTCACGATTAAAGACTACGTTAGTCTCAGATAGGGTGACCATTCGTCCGGAGGTCCGGGTCCTGATCCGGACTTTCTATCCGGCTTTTTAATTTATTTAAAACTCTAACTGTTTTAGATTTTAGAGTACTGCTATAAATGTTATTGAGTAGGGCTAGATCTAATCCGAACCCTTACATGACATTGGCTTGCCATGATCTACTACGAGGGCTGCACTAAAAGTATCGGGAATGGAATATTTCCACTATTCCAGTCATATTAAAATCTATTTAATTGCAAACTCCAGGGTTTTAAAAATCGTATACCATTTATTTATTTAAAAAAAGATTCTCGGTCGTATCACAAGGTCTTGTCAAACTTGTTTAGTCGTTGAGAAAATGGAATTGACTCGAGAAAATTCAAGAGCGATGATTTATTATGACTTTTGAAGTGGTTTAACACAAAAACAGTGTGTTGACCGGATGATTTCTGCATTTGGTAATGAAGCCCCATCCAAAACCACAATTTATCGCTGGTTTCCTGAATTTCAACGTGGACGTGTCAAGCTCAGTGATGATCCCCGTCAAGGTCGTCCAAAAACTGCAGTCACCTAAGAAAACGTTGATGCTGTGCGTAAGCTGATTGAAGAAGATCGACATGTGATATACCGCGAAATTCAGGCAACTTTAGACATTGGCATGAGTCAAATACAAATAATCTTGCATGAACAATTAGGTGTAAAAAAGTTGTTTTCCCGATGGATACCGCATTCGCTCTGTGAAGAGCAAAAAGCGGCTCGCGTTACTTGGTGCGTCAGAACTCTCGGGAGATTACATGCAGGATCCTCAAATGCTGTATACAACATCGTATCAGGTGACGAATCATGGATATACGCGTACGAACCCGAAACAAAAAACCAGTCACGAGTTTGGGTGTTCGAAAATGAATTAAAGCCAACAAAAATTGTTCGTTCACGGAGTGTTGCAAAAAAAATGGTGGCCACGTTTGTCTCCAAAACCGGCCATGTTGCGACTATTCCTCTTGGGGGACAAAGAACGGTTAATGCAGATTAGTATGCTAGCATTTGTTTGCCACAGGTCGTTTCTGAACTCCGTAAAGAGAACTGCAACCGCCGCATCATCCTCCATCACGACAATGCGAGTTCTCACACCGCGCACTGAACAAAAGAGTTTTTA